ATCTTGAAAACAGTGGAAAAACAACTTTTCATCTTATAAAAATCCATCCATCTTGTGGAAGTACATGGTAAGGTGAGCAGGCGGACAACTGGTTCCATTGTACTTTTCAAATTTTGGAGTCTTGAACTTGTGCGGGAGAATCATATTAGGTACCAGGCTAAGCTCTATAGCATCCACACCTTATCCATCAATAGATTTCATCGTCCTTACCTTATCCTTGAGCTTTTTATAGTTATCTTCATATTGTTTGGATAACTCAGACTTTAACCTTTTCAGCCTCGCTAAGTATATTGAAATCAGGGTTTCATCGTCAAGGTACTCATCATTGTCATTGAGGTGAACAAGATGTGATATAGATGCTCCAGTAGTATTAATTTGGTATCCCCTTCCAGGTAGCACCTTTTTTGGTTGATCCCTCACATGAGCTGATGAACCATGATCAATAGTGTTAGAACCCTTATCAGGACATTTCCCTTTAGGATCTACCCGGAGCAACGCGACAATTTGATTTACCACATCTCTTTTTGATTTAGTCACTTGGTCACCCAGGCCATTCTGAATATTCCATAACCGGTTTTCTAGATTTTGTGGGCCTCATCTAATTATTTCAATTTATTTTCCATATTTTCTTTGGCTCTTCCCCGAGTATTATATGAATGAGAATTACTTTTACTAGAAGCCAGAATATCCTCAAACAAAAATATTCAATTTATAAAAAATTTAATGAATGAACATGAGTATAAACGTAAATGAATATTAACAATGATAAAAGTAAAAAAAATGTAAAAATGCATGAATGCATGAGGTATTGATTATGGAAAGTCAACTATCATAAAACAACTTTCAAAATGAAAACAAAGTCTCGTACACAACGATTTCTCTCTATAAGTACGGCCTAGCCTTCATACTTAAGTCTACAACCTCGACTATCAAAGACATTACTCTCCTGATACTCTCTAAAACTGGGTCAAAGTAATGCTCCACAATTCTATCTCGAGTAGCTAACTCTCCTAAATATCGAGTGACCTCGCTCATCTAAATTAGTAAGTCGGTGATGATGCACTCTCTAGCAATATTTTGGTCTTTATAAGCATCGACTACCTCCTGTCGCTCATCGTTGGCACCATTCACAGCGTGCTCTAGGTTGACAACCTGCTCTTAACAATGATATAATTTTTTCTTTAAGACTTTGAACTTGTCGACACATAGCAACCCTCTACTAAAAACTCTCACTGAGGTACCTCGGTTCTCGAAATAAATCTTACTCCAGTTGCGTAATGTACCTCATAAACTCAGAGTTCTTGACCCAACACTAAGCCAACTGTTCATCACTCCTATCCCGGGCCTCTTGCATCCTCATGTTTAGACTTGCAATCTGGTTAATCTTGTATTGCCTCCTCTAGATCCAAGTATGAGTAATCCCACGTTGTATTTCGAGTTCAGTTTTATAGTGTTTCCTCTATAGGTACAATCTTATTGTCTCAACCTTAAGGTTCTTGATTTTTTATCCCCTGATGTCAAACTTTGCAAGTAGATGACTCATTTCAGCCTCAAAATTTCTCAGTGCAGTGCTCAATCTTGCTTTCTCAGCCTCTAAACTGGTAACTTGATTATTTATCTTTCGTAACTTTTTATTCAAACCATGAATTTGGTGGTCGTCCTCTTTAGATTTTATGATTTAACGTCTCCTGTTCTCTTCGAGCTCCTCAATCATCTTACGCTGGCGCTCAACCTCAGCCTCTAGCTCTTTAACCCAACACTTTTCAATGTTTAACTCTCAAGTCCATTGTACTGAATCTTTATTGGATTCAACCACTTTTTTGTTTTTTGCAAACTCTGATAGCATTTACTCAATTATTCATGATCAAAATCGAGATGATCTTTTCTTTTTTGCATCATTTAAAACTGTATTGTGTGGAATTCTACGTCAAGAACCCGCCACAAATTTTTTGTACTCAAGTTTCTCTACCCTTGCAACCCATTTAACTTTCTCTTCTGCAAACTCAGTTCTAATGATCTCAACTTCTGATGGAATAACCCGAATAGTTTTTTATATAAGGACGACCTCACTTTGGTTTGGGAGGGAAACATTTTCATTCGTTCAGACACATTGCTACTCTTCGTAGTCTGATGTTGCCATAATACCAGCTAGTTCAGCTCGGGGTGTGAAAGGTTTTCTTCCAAACCTCGGCTGCCTTACGAATTTTCATTTTGTAATCATTTCCCTGGAAAGCAAAACAGACATAGAAATCCCTAAAGTAGTCAGAACAAAGAGGCACCACAACTGTCTCAAATCCAAAAAATGTGCGTATCTAATGGCTCCCCAAAGCCCAAGCAACATGATCCAATTTTTATCGCCAACCTTGAACAGAAACTCAAACTAAATTTGCCACGGAGCATGCCAAACAACATTTGAGTCTTGGAGATTTTGGAATGCCTTCATCAAAGTATCTTTATCGACTTGTGGCCAGTTTTATTCTGGAGACTACTTTAATGGCGAGTACTGAGTGCTAAAACGGTGGTATGACACATTCTCAATTTTCCAGAAGTGGTTGTAGACCCATACATACAACAGTTGAGCACATCCCAGAAATGAGCTTCCTCCTACTTTTGAGCAAACATTCAAGGACCAAAAAGTCTCAACTAAAATGGTGGGATATGGGTTTACTTTTCTTGATAAATGATCAAACAAATTCACTATGGCTGCTTTTATGTATCCCAAGGCCTTCAAAAAGAATATCAAACCATAAATCCCCAAGATTAGCAGGTTCAGTCGCACTCGCTCATCTGGATGCTTGATCAAGACTTATTTATTGCTAAGCCAGGCAATGCCTTCTCCTTCACCCTTCTGACTGATCTGAGATGTGTCCCATTCTTTATGTAATCTGGCGATCTTGGCCAATTTGATGAGGAAAGGTTGAGGTTCGACCGACCTGGAGTAAATTCGGTCCTCCTGGTCTCTTTCAATACGTAGCAAAGCAATGTACTCTTCTAAGGTGAAAACCAGATCCTTTCGGTTGAAAGTGAAACAATAGTAGCCCGGATTCCAAAACTGAATCACAACTCTCAATAAATCATCTTCTACCTTGACAGCCAAGAGGTAAGTGATATCTCCGAAACACTATTGGAATTTATGCATCATGTCAGACCCTCACTTCTCCCATATCTCACGCAAGTCAGACATGTCATTTCTCTTCAAGGAAATCAACGTATACTTGGCTAAGCTGGACGTTTGATCAACCGATAAATTGTTCCCTTTTTTCTCTTTGCAGAGCCTTAGACCACGGGCATACTTCAACGTTATGAACCATCTGACGAATATTTTTGTTTCCTGACAACTGAAAGCCTTCTACTTCTACAGCTAACTAGAAATCCAATACCTCAGCCTATGAATGATGCAATAAATACAAAGAAAAATTAAAGAAAAAGGATGAGAAATAAAGATAAGCATTGATTAGTGTTGGGATAATAAAGATAAAACTCAGAATATAGTAAGACCTAACCCGCATGATTTTCTAGTTCGCATACAACGACATAAAAAATAGAATAAAGGTTTATAGTTGATTTTTCTCCCTTGTGTACTTATTTGGGTACCTATAGTGAAATTTTGATAGAGTTTCACATCAGGTAGATCTAAGGTAAATTAAATGTATGGTTTTAGCTCTAAAAGGATAAGATACTTGAAATTATCCTTGTTGATTCCCCTTGGGCAAGTCTGACCCTCCATCCTCACCCATTATAGGCTTATGGACTAAGTTAAATTTTGAAAGGGAGTATTTCCCTATGCCTGACACGAGGAATAAATCCCTATGAAGACATAGGTACTTTAGACCTAAAAGTTATCACTAGGTCTGTATGGAGAATAAATCCTCACAAAGATGTCACTTTCACTCTCACTTAAAAAGGACAGCTCGTGTATAAAGCGAATATCATTAATGTGGATGTGTTGTGTGTGAGGAGAAATACTTAAACCTTTAATCATATGAGCAGAGTAAGGAACCAGATAAAACAAGAAGCCTTGGGAATATTATAATATCTGAAAAAGTCACTTAAGTCACACATTAGTACAAATGATTAAAAGAATTAGGGGCAATATGAATTTTAAAGAAAATTAAAAGGAACAAATCTTAAGAGGAAGGAAAATTACAAGGGAATTAAAAGGATCAGGAATAAAATAAACTTGAATTCCTTAATTTTATAATACAGGGACAAAGTGTAATTATTTTAAGGCCTGACTCTCTATGAAACCAAAGATTTTGGGTTCCATCCCTAGTGGAGTCACCAAGCTGTCATGAATTTTTTTTGAAGCGTATACGGAATGATTTTTGAAATCGATATTAGGAATTGGAATTTTATAAAAGATTTGAAATGTTTGGAGTAACCATCGACCTTTGGATTAGGTAGGTCGAAAACCTGAGATATGCCCTTTTAAATAAAAAATTAAAAATACTTTATTTGGTCTGCGATTTAGAGATTATGGGTTCAGGAGTCAATTACGCTTGAGGAAGGATTAGCATCCCACAATGCTCAAAAATAGTACTTTCAATTATAAATTTGTCCCCATATTGAAAATTTGGAAATTTGTCTATTTCCAATTAATGAATAAACTAACCCCTAATCAGAATTAAGGTAATTATTTCTTATGTTTTAATCAAAATAACGAAATATTGTCATCCAAAAAAATTAGAAAATTAATCAAACAGCGTATCCTTAGCAATTTAAATGTAGGAACAAATCTCTACCCTTTCACTTTTAAATATGAACCTATTTAATTTTTAGTGAGCATTGATAGAATATTTATTTATTTAAATGTATTGAAAAAGAAAGGTCTAGTTACTTTAAGACCATCAATTTCAATATCTTAAGAATAAATAGACATTATATTTTGATCAAATTATGAATCTAATAATTTGTTTCTAATTAAAATTATTGAAGAAACTAATCCTAAAAAGGATAATTGCTACATTTAATTAATTTCTAATTAAAGGACCTAAAATGCTCTCTCTTCTCTCTACCAATTCAAGAACACAAACACCCTATCCTAAGAAAAATATGAGCGTTTTGAATCTAACTCCCTTATTTACTCAAGTTCTTCACATGTTCTTACCCAACAACCCATTTTGATTTATAAAAACACCCAAACTAAAACCCAAATTAGTTTTTTTTGGATCAAAACCCCTAAAACACCAAAATCTTCTTTTCCCAAAACTACCCAAAATCTCCAAGAACAAAACCTAAACTACACCCAAATGAAATAGGGTTTTCCCCTTTTCTTCTATCATCCTAAACTACCCAAACCAAAACAACCATAACCCTTAACACCAAAACCCGACGCCCACCATCTCCGACACCTCGACGTCGGTCGGCTATCAACGCCACCGTCGACCACTTAACCTGACACCGCAACTCTCGGCCACCCGCTCTATTCGAACTAAATGATCAACATAATAGCAACACTGCATGAAACTCACCTTAAAACGACTCTGACTGGTCCTTGTACTCGAGATCAATGGCGAGTAGAGGCAAAACGACGGCAAGCAACTCCAAAGGTGAAAAAAAAACTTTTCTTTTCTAACTCCTTGCTCCGAAATCCTTGGATTAATGCACTGATTTTTTTAGGATGATATATGTTCATTGGTTGGTGGTTAATGGCATTTATAGTGGCTAGATTTGTTAGATTTCATCTCTTCCCGCCTATAAAAGATTACAACTAATTTCATTTTAAGATTTTTCACTAAAATCTTCGTTTTTGTGTTGATATTGACTTCTTTATTTTTTTAATGTTGGAATAGAGAAAGACGGCAACGGTGAATTTTCCGTTCGAAAACGGTGGCGGGGGCTCATGCGGTTCACGCGCCGATGAAGATTTCGGCCGGTGGGGATGCGTTGTTGAAAGAGTGCATGCTTCATTGGATGATGTAATCTTAGCCATTGGATCCAATCTAGATCCAATGGTTGAGATTCTTTTGTGCATTTTCTCTTGGATTGGTGATGTGGTTTAACGAGAACCTTTGGATTTATCTTCTCTCCAAGGGTCTCACATGGGTTGTGTTTCTTTGACATTGATTGAAGATGTGTCAAAAATCTAAGCCATTGGATCTAAGATCATCAATGGTCCCCAATTGCTTGACTCTCTTCAAAAGAATGAACAAGGTGTTATCATCAAATACACCTAAAAAGTAGCACCACAATTAATATTTTGTCTCATTTTAAAATTTAAAGCAAAAACAACCCCCCATTCCACAAAAACATGCGGCTAGGATGAAATATTAAGGTGTCATCCGGATAAAATGATTGACATCATTCGGGATAAAAATGAATGATGACAATTAATAATTTGACTCATTATCTTTTGTCATTGATTTTGATAAAAACAAAATTTTCACTTAAAAATTACCGTAGTCTTGTTTAAAATGATAATTTTAGGTTTTCCTTTTAAATTAATCAAAAATTTCTGAAGTCGTCCTTTATTATTGTAGACATTTATTTTTATTCGAAGTTTAATTTGAATTTCACTTTTGTTTATATATTTTTGTTTATAGTTTTATTTACTATTTTCTTAACTGTAAGATTTATTAGTATTACTTATTAGTATTAGGTATTTGGTTTCAATTGTTATTTCAGCCAAGAAATTTTATTGAATACGACCAGAACACTTGGATACGTGTCTCATTAAAAATTTTCTACCCTAAACGGGGAAAAGCAAAACACAACGAAAACAACAAAATGCAATAGACTGTACTGGAAAATCGAAAACTACGCTGAATCTGCAGGATGACAGCCATAACCCAACAAAACCAAAATGAAAATTAACAAACTCGGCTGAAATACAAGTAACCCCTGCACAACACTTGGGACCAGCGAACACCAAGCAACCCACCATCTACTACCTACCTCAAGAAATTACCAAAATGATCGAGACCACACAATGAAAATAAAACATACATGTTGTAAACACCAATTTTTTTATCATTATTTTATTTGTAAAAAATTAATATTATAATATTTCAATTAGGGTTATTAATACCCCAACTACCCTATATAAAATCACTCATGCTTTGTCCCTAAAAAGAGGAATGAAAGACACTTTTTTTTCTAACTTTTTCTCTACATTTACTGCTCTCTTATCTAGCTTTCTCTTTTGGCTTTGTCCCCAACCTCGACTTGGATTTTCGTGGCCGGCATGCGAGAGAGACCCTCTCACGGCTAAGAAACTTCGGTTGTTGGTGGCCGACGTTGGGGGTCGGTTTTACGTCCCTCGGCGTTGTAGAGGGAGAATGGGAGAGGAGGATAACGGGAGAGGTTCTCGCTCGTTTAAGCTGTCTTTCGGGCTTCCATTGGCCGTGGTAAAGGTCGTCGTGGTTGTAGGTCGGTCACCGGCCTGGTGGCCGGCGCGTGAGGGGCCGTTGTGTGGTGGCCGAGTGAGGTTGTGAAGCTTAAAAGCTTCTGGCTGGTTCACGTAAATGAAAGGGATGATATTTTGTGTGTATGGAAAATGGGTAAATCACTCACCATGTCCCCAGATTCTAGCTTCTTTTCGCTTTGTGTTTCAAGGTCAAATCGCAGTCTAAATCCTCCAGTTTCAGCATGTTTTACGTTTTGGTCACTACAAGGGTAAAACCATCTTCGAGATCCTCATATTTTAGCTTATTTTACATTCTGGTCATGTATATTGTTATTTATTTCAAATATGCATATTAATTTTATTAACTTTCAAATTTAGTTAATGTTTTTTTATGTTTATTCATTTTAGTCACTGTTTGGATTTGGTTTTTGTTTTATTATGATTTGGATGTGATATTTGTAATTTATTTATTTTATTCACTTTTTATTTCTGATTTGGCTACTTTTTGTTGTTTTATTATATTTTAGTCTCATGAATATGTATATATGCATGTTTCATATTTTTGTCACATTGAATGCTTTATTTTGCTATCTTACATTTTGGTTCTTATGTTATGGTATGATTTTATTTTAATTAAGCACCTATATTTGTGTGATGTTTATCTTTGGCATTTGTTTTTGTCGTGTTTATATTTTGGACACTAAAGTTTAATTTTTTTTATCATTAAACATGATTTATTAATTTGTTAAATATTTATTTACCTTGCTTAGCATATTTAAATTTTAAAATTGTTAAATGTATTTCTATGCCTATTTCGATTAATTTCGTAGTAAATGGATTACAACATTTCCCTCAATTTATTAAGATTTATTTTTCCTCCTTTTCCATGTCAATTTGTTCGTGCATATAGATTTAGACATTTCGAATATGTATGAAAGCCTCATAAGCATAACTCGACTAATTTCATAACTGGATTAAAGGTAGTATTTATTTATTTTAAAATATTAAGTATTGTCTTAAAGTAACTAGATGTCCTATTTTGATATTTTAAAATAAATAAATACCCTATTAGAATAAAAAAAAGAGTTTGCTTAATTTAATCAAGATTAAGGACAAAAAGGAAATGTTCTTTTATTTAAACTTATCGAGATGATTCGCCTAATTTTATTAGGGATTATGTATCGATATTTTTAAATAATAATTAAACATCCCTTATCTTTTCAAATTAAATCTATAATTTGGATTAATTGGCTTAATTTCTTTCTTTGATCGAATATAATTATTTTAATCTTGAATTCTTGAGAGAAATTATTATATTCTTTTTTATTTCAGTTGGAAAGAGAAATATTCATCCCACAGTATTTTAGAGATTATTTTCTCTTCGATTTGAAATATTTGAATATTTTCTATTCCTCCTTAGAATTTTTTCGTTCAATAAACATTGCATGGTTGAATTTGGAATAATAGGATCGTAACTTAAATTTATATTCGAATTCTTAGATTTCCACTATTAGAAATAATTTATAATCGATGGGGTACCAATTTTGGGCATTGTGGGGGTGCTTATCTTTCCCATACGTAATCGATCCTCGAACCTTTTTTTATTACAAAAAAAGAATGAATCTCTGGTTACACGTAGATTGGTGAATCGTTTAAAATGATGTTTTCTTAAAAACTCTTTTAAAAGATGATTTATGGGTATTCGACTTACCTAACCCAAAAGGTCGATGGCGACTCCTCACATTTCAAAACTTTTTCAAAGAAAAAACCCAAGTCATACTAAATTTTTTCCCGCACGAGCGGAAAACAGTGTCGACAGCTTGGCGACTCCGGGGATTTAGTGGATCAAGCCTTAAATCGATTATATATTGTCTCTGTAGTTGGAAATTGAGAAGTCGATTTTATTTAATTTACGATTCTTTTGATTTCTTTCAATTCTTTTATTATTTTTTATTATTTTATTTTATTTTATATTTATTGTATGTTAATGTTTGCATTTGATTAAATATCAGGATATTGAAATTTTGGATTCGTTTTAGTTCGCTTTTGAGTGGTTGTTTGTCAAAGGTTTGATAATTTCTCCTCACACACAACACAACACATGCATTTCATAACATAAACTCTATACCCGAGCTCTTCCTCTTTAAGTGGGAGTGAAAGTGACGTCTTCGTGAGAATTTATTCTCCGTGTCAGACCTAGCAAGTAGCTTTAGGGGTTCATATACCCTATGTCTTCATGAGGATTTATTCTCCGTATCAGGCATAGGGAAATGTGCACTCTCGAATTGAACTCGGTTCGCTTAAGCCTATAATGGGTTAGGATTGAGGGTCTAGCTCGCCCAAGAGTGCATCGACAAGGACAATTCAAGTATCTTTACTTATAGAGCATATAGTAAACTGTAGAAACCCACCTGATCTAAGACCATGCTGAAACTCTGTCCGTAGGTACCCAAATAAGTGTACACAAATGAGAAATGAATTCTAACATTTTTGTCTTTTAATTTATTCGATAGATTCTTTTTGAATAATTGCATGTGAACTAGAAATTATGCGGTTAGGGTTTTAATTTCCTCTGTGTGTTTTATCACTGTATTTTATGGTTCATTTACCATTTGAATTTAATCTTTTATTATTTCACTAACATACATTTCCTCTCTTTGATTATTATTTTTGCTAACATTTTTTCCTTTCCATGTTGCTTTATTTTGTGCATAAACATATTATTAATACCCGAGTTATTTATCAAAATTAGAAGGCTTTTAAAACAACAACGTCACACGAAGGGGTATATATTTTTATCTAGTTTGACATATTGGGACGTTGTGAGTTCTTTAAAAGTTATTCTAAGATAATTACATTGAAATTAACACATGTTTCATACATATCATGTCATAGAATGTATTGATTCCCTAATTAATAGTCGCATTAGAAGGCTTTCAATACGAAAAAGTCACTCGAAGAGGTATAATAGAAATGCAAAAATGCATAAATGGTCCAGAATGATACTCTAGGAAACATCTGAAGATGTATGTCAAGCTGGAATACATGAAGTTCAAATGATGCAGTAAAACAAGCTTTTCAAGGGTGTTACTACGATGTTGATACAACTATCCGAAAAGAAATAATGTGTTTGAAGTCATCAAGCAACAATGATAGCCAATACGAGACAGTGGATGATAACAGTGGCATATGGTCACTCAACAAATGCATTTCTGGAAAAGAAGTCGAAGCGTTGGAATTTTCCATAAAGCCAAGGATAAAAGAAGATTGTTTCCTTTCCTTGCATTTTCGATCAAAATTGAAGAATTCAAGCAATATGACGTGATTTGTAGTTTCCATCTGCCTCATTGTATTGAGACATTGTGTGTTCTTTGGAAGTTGTTTTATGACAATTACTTTGGGATCAATTCCTTTGTTGCATTTACATTTTGCATTCCCATTTTTGCATCTTTTCATTTGCATGTGCATCTTCACATCTTTACACTAGCATTCATACATTGTACATTCCATGATATACATTGCATATCAACGTGCATTAATCATGGATCTTGGGAGTAACTCGTATCTTTTGAGGTAAATTGAAGTCACCCCTTCGTACTTAGAAAAGAATTGAGAGCTAAAGATGTGATGTTAGAGCTATCTGAAGTTTGAGACACATCATTGAGATCTGTAGGGCATGGAGAAGTAAGACCCAGATTTTGTTTGACCCACAGGTATTAACCTTTAACTCGTAATGAGACATTCTGGGGCCAGTTACCAGGAAATTCTTCCACCCATCATGAAACCTTGTTGCACTGGTTTTGTCCTGTTTGAACGTGTTTTTGTTCTTTCCTTAATATATATTTTTGATAATTGAACTTACGTCATTTTCTAAGGTTATGAGCTATAAATCAAGTTTTAATCATGTAATTCTTTGAATATCGAATG